ACAGTGTGAAAACTGAGTCCTTCAACCACTGCTGTGACAAGTAAACTGGGACAACCTTCAAACCACCAATAAAGGTGTCATCAATGGCCTCTAAAACATGAACACCTTTGACCCCAACATTGCCTTTCCAAGAACTCATTTTCTATGGACGTCATCAATATCTAGACAAAGCTTTACACATAGACATTCACTGAAACAATTCCTTTGAGGGGCACCTGGGTGGCTCAGTCACTTAAGTGTCTGCCTTCAGCTCAGGTCGTGATCTCAGGATCCTGTGATGGAGCCCCACATGACGCAGGCTCCCTGCTCAGCGGGAAGTGTACTTCTGCCTCTGCCCCTCCCCACTCATGCTCTTTCAAACTCTCTCTCAAATAAATAAATAATTTTTTTTTAATTTAAAAAAAAAAAACTAATTCATTTGAAAATTCAAATTCAATTAAAAATAATTAGCAACAAGTGAAATCTAAAACAGAATCACAACGAGGTAAAAATCAGTGAATCCATATAATAAAATATTATGCAGCCATTTTTTGAGTAGGTAGGGAATTGGAGAGACATCATGTATAATATTAAATGAAAAACACAGGATGGGGCACCTGGGTGGCTCAGGGGGTTAAGCATCTGCCTTCGGCTCAGGTCATGATCCCAGGTCCTGGGACGGAGCCCCATGTTGTAGGGCTCCCTGCTCAGCAGGAGTCTGCTTCTCTTTCCCCCTCTGCTGCTCTTCCTGCTTGTGCTCTCTTTCTCAAATAAATGAATAAAACTTTTTAAAAAGATTTTATTTATTTATTTGACAGAGATCACAAGTAGGCAGAGAGGCAGGCAGAGAGAGAGGAGGAAGCAGGCTCCCCACTGAGCAGAGAGCCGGATGCGGGGCTCAATCCCAGGACCCTCAGATCATGACCTGAGCTGAAGGCAGAGGCTTTAACCCACTGAGCCACCCAGGCACCCCAAAATCTTAAAAATAAAGAGAGGAAAGAAAGAAGGAAGTAAGGAAGGATGGAAGGAAGGAAGGGAGGGAGGGAGGGAGGGAGGGAGGAAGGAAGGAAGGAAAACACTGGATATAAAATTATATTTGCATTATGATCCTATCCAAGCCAAAAAAAAGAGAGAGAAAACTAAAAGGAGTCACAAGATCAAAGGGTGACTGTCTCCCCTTTAAATATTTAAATCTTGGGGAGAATTTTCCAAAAGGGCCAAGAGTAGTGTATTTTAACCAAAGGGAAATAGAAAAAGAAGGCCTGTCTGCATAACTCCCAGTCAATGGCAACAAATTCATGAATCTGAGGTGTCAGACTCTGGGCTTTTATAAATGTACAATGAACCCATCTTTGCAAACCCACAGCCACCTCCAGAATGACAACTTATAGGACGTGTGGTCTACATTTATTGGACAATTCAGCTGACATTTTAAGTCCAGCCTACTGGACACCATGGGTAAGAAATCCAGAAACGGCACAAAGGATAAGAGATATGCCACTTTGCCATTTGCAAAGACCTTTCAGAGACAACAGCTCATTTGATGCTCACTGGCAGTCGGTAAGGCGGACAACGACAGGATCTGGCACACACCCATTTTACAGCTGGGAAAATAGAGTCAGAGATAGTCACACTCCCCAAAGTGGCAGGGGCTCTCCCTGACTTCCAGGCCAGGGCTGTCTTAGAACGTGAGGCTCTTTCCACTATATCGTGCCATTAGCCTATTTGTTGGTGCTTCTTTATAAGTATCTTCATAGAAAGAGACATTTCTCACTAGCAAGAAAACCAAAACGACTTACTAATAATAAAAATAGGCTTCAGAAGTGAACAGACCTGATTCAAGGTCAAAATCCAACTTGAACGTTTGAGGGACTCTTTCAAGTTAACTTCTCAGATACCCGATTTTCTCATCTATAAATACAGGAATAAAACCACACAGCTGACAGGGTGCTAAAGAATTAAATGATCTGAGCACTTGGACCAGAGCCTGCCCCAAGACGGGTATAACAAACAGAGTAGTCCTTCCTCCAGAAAGAGTGAAATGTCTACAATGAACCAACTCCAGATTCTAATTTTAGTCCTTGTTGGCACACCAGACTCCTTAGTCTACCTGCTATCAGGAGCCCACCAAACCTTTACCGGTTACTGTAGGGCCCTAAAATAATTAGAAACCACTCAACATAGTAGTTTCAACCAATGACAGTTTAAATCATTTTTTGTCAGTTTTAAATAATTTCTCTTTTGTCTTAACATGTAAGTAAACTTCAGCATCAGAGCCAAATTCTTTAAAAAGTAATAATGAAATTTTTGTTTCTATTGCCTGAGGCTTTGGCCTATCTCCTTTGAATGCAACTACTGAAACTCCCAAATCACCTGTTTGATTAATTTCTTTTAGGAGGGCAAAAGTGGGAGCAGAGAATGACGGGCACTTCTCAAAGTTTTCATTTCCTCTTTAAATTAGATTTGGGTATGGACGCCTAAGCTCAAAACATTCCATCCACTGACTATGTTTATTATGTGACCACACAGCTTGGGTGCTACCTGGCCAAAGGAGAACCCAGAATTTAATAAAGCTTATCGTTAGCATCAGACGAGGAGTCCGGAGGCTGGATGAAAGCCCACAATGCTCTAGGAGAGCGCCCTTCTCTCTTCACCAGCCCCGGAACCTTCTCCACCCACTCCTTTCCAGAAGGCCATGCCCATTGTCTAGAAAGAGAAACTAATAAGCCCAAGGATTGAGTAACCAGAGACCTTAAGGGCATAAATAAGCCAAGATGTGGAAAACCATCCCTTCTGCTGCCTGTGGCATACAGTTTCGAATGCTGCTTCTGAGAGACAGAAGTTTAATGAGATTCTTCTTGTAAGCAGGAAGAGAAAGAGACATTGTCACTACCCACTGTGAAGTTATCTGTCCTTTTCTCTGCTTCCCAACTTCTGCTAACCACATGCTTACAATTTTAGGATGTCCGACAGTCCCTATCTTAGAATCTCAACAAGATTGCTGAGGTTGATTTCCGTTCTATTTTCTCTCTGGGGATTAGTGGGGTACGGTAGAGAGAATGAACTTTGGAATCAGGCAGGCTAGGTTATCGGAGATACGTATAAAGATACACACACACACACACACACACACACACACACACACACACACCTCCTCCTGGTTCTGCTTCTCTGACTGAAGGACTGATACATGGGCGGTGGGACTTTGACTGCTGTGGGCCTCAGTTGCCTCCCGGTAAGTAAGAACTTCACAGGGCTCTGAGAAGTAAGTGTACGGAAAGCCTATGAATCTCCCGACTCAGCCAAGCACTCAGCACTGCTGCCTATCTCCCTCTCCCTGCTTTCCTAAAACATTCCCTATAAACATTAGTACCGTCAGAGATTCCAAGAGGACCAGATGTTACCTGGTCAGGACATCTTTTCTTCATACAAGCCTCAAGTCCCACGGGCACCTTTGTACTCAGTACTCTTTTTAGATACTTAGTTCTTCTTCGGTGGTAAACTTTTATCAAAAAACACTGCTCTGCAATTCAGTGGGAACTTTTTTTGTCACACTCCAGACTTGAGGGCAGAACATTGCTCAGAGATCCATGGAAACACAAACCTACCCCAGGAACGGCCATCCCTCGCTGATAGTGGATTACCTCCATCCAATGCTGATTTTTTTTTTCCCTAACAATTTTACTCCCAGGTTAAGCTATTCAAATTCTGGGGCAACTAAGTACTGTCTACAGCCCCGAGTCCAATTTGAACCTGAAGACACACCTACTTGTCTCAGCAATGACACACGGGGGGAAAAAACAAAATCTCCCAACCAGTAATACATGTCACTAGCTTCCATTTCCCGAGGAGGGATGACTGAAGGAAATACGGGTCTGCTAATAAAGGCTCAAGAGACGTATTCTCCATCCTGTTGCCTTCCTAACATGTCCTGTTTTCTATGAAAAAGTGAAGACCAAAGTGATAAGCCAGTTTTAAAACTGTAAGCGATTGGAATCTTCTCGGGAGTAAAGAGCAGTGTATGTGTTTTTATGGAGGAGATAGTCACGGTTGGAATGCTTCCAGTTGCTTATTATTTGGACGTGAAGACTTGGAAGAGCTTGCTGACGTAACATTCCAAGCTGTGGTAACCCCAACTGGCCAAGAAGGTATGCGTTTATTATTATTTTTTAACTAGTGCTGTCAAGTGGCAATTAAGAGGGAAACCGGTGGCAAGGAATCCCTGGGGTCTACAGCCACAAAAACAAGAGTGTAAGACTGGACTTCTGTAAAAGTTACACCTCCTCTCAGATTTCAATTAAAACTCCTGCTCCAAAGTCGTCATTGAAGACAACACTTTATGGTCTCTGCTGGTGGCTTCCTGCTCTGACCACAGAAGGTTCCTTTGTGGTGACAGGAATCGACTCAAAGAAGAAAAAAAAAATGTAAGTTTACAAACGCGCCTTCCCTTTTTCCAAGCCTGATTTATCCAGGATATGTGGGGAAGACATCGGAAAGCCCCCAACCTGTTACAAGAATTCATCAACCACTAAAATTAATGAAAACCTGTAAAGGAAAGAAATGGAACTCCCCAAGGTCTTAAAATATAAAACAAAGGAGGCGGGGAGCTACGACAGCACCCGGTCGCTGGTGTCGATCTTCCGCTCGCGGGGCCTTTGAGGACAAGCGCGGCAAGGGGTCCGCGGGGCTCCAAGGTGCTCAGCCGGGCGGGAAGCGCAACCGGAGGAAGCCAAGCCAGGCCCGGTCCCTACACCCCGGACAGCTCGGAGGGGCGGGCTAGGGGTAACAGGTCCTCAGAGAAGCGGGAGAGACGAGGGAAGGCGGGTCCCGGGCAAGCGGGAAGGGAGGGACGGGAGTGGTCGCCCCGCGCCGCACCCGGACCGGGCCACTCTCCAACAGCCAGATGTTCAGCGTCGGGATCCCGTGGCTGTGCCAGGGCGAGGGCAGCTCAGGGCCCAGCGGGGCTGCCGTCCCGACCCCCCGACTCCTCCCCAGCGCCCAGGCCCCAATGGGACACTCACCCGGAGCCACTAGCGGCGAACTCACGGTGCCTCCCACGAAGACGGCGGTGGCCAGGACCGCGGACCCCGAGAGTTCTCCTGGGACCATCGCCGCGTTCCTTCGCCCTCCACCCCCGGGGTGCCGCGTCCCGGGATCCTGCAGGTAATGCAGCTGCAGAGCAGGCGACCGACCGAGTAGCAGGGCTCGGCACCCGCGCGCGGTGAACCCCGCCCCGTAAAGGACTCTCCTCTCCGGCCCCACCCACCCGGCTGGCCCCGCCTCTCTCCGCCAGACCCAGGGCTCCGCCTGTCCGCGAGCGAGCTCCACCTGTGGCCCCGCCCTCACCCCCCCGCCCATCGCAGCCTGGCCCCGCCTCGCCCCGCGGCGCCCGCTTCCTTTCTAAATTCCACCGCAGCCTCCGCCGCTCGGATTAGGCCTAAACTCCGCCCCTCATGTCCCGCCCACCGAGGTCCGACCACGCCTCCCTCCGGCCACTCCGGTCCCGCCCACTTCTGCCTGGTCCCGCCTCTTCTCGCCGCGCCCGCTTCGTTTCCTAGTCGGGTTTCAGCGCAGACGCGGGGATTGCGCGGGAGCCAAGGGAGGGGGCAGGGACTTGGCGGTTCCTCTGCCCTTCGCTGAGAGCAGGCGGGCGGAGGAGGAGGAAGAGGAAGAGCGGGACAGGAAACTCTAGACCGCCTGACTTGACCACCATCGGAGTGGGCACGATCTTAATTCTTTGTTGGCATTTCTCTTCAGCTGGCGTTCCCTTCCGTGGCTGGTCCAGAGAGGGGCGCCCCGCTGTCCGCGAAGTTTCACTGTTTGAAAATTGAGCGGAAAAGGCAAATCATTTAAATTTCTTCCTATCTCCGCTTTGCTCTAAGCTGCTCCCTTTGGGGACTAAATCTATGCATACCTGCAGGAGCAAATTGCTTTCTTTTTAAAAGCGTGAGCCCACGCTGCAACGTGCAAATACTTTAACAAAATAGCTCTTTAAGTACCTCGTCACTTACCATCTTCTTACAGTCTCAGACCAGCTCTGTGAGGTGAGTAGTGTCCCCATTCCACCGACCTTTGAGTAGACTCACGGGACACTGTCATAAAATGGAAATTGACTCGTCTTCATGGTGTTTGCTCACTGCTGTGCCCTCAGCACCCTGCTCCATGACAGCACACACGGAGAGTCAGAAGTGGCTTTGAAGTTGAATCATCACGTGCATTGATTAGACGAGAGCCTTTCTGAGTAGTTCCCTCTTTACTGCACTGGAGAGACCCCTGAAGCCAGGAGGTTAAGGCTTTCAGTAACACTCAAGATGACAGGCATGGCCAGGAGGGTGAGGTCCCGGGCTCTTTCACAGAATGGGACTCTTGCATGGTTTGACTGTCACCTTCCAATTTTCTTTTGAAAAGTCCTCAAACATGGACTCTTAACAAACACTTGCACTGATGTGGGAATCCCCAGGACAGAAGCTTGGGCCACTACAGAGAGCTGGGGCTGAGGGATGGGAGCCCCTACCCTTGAAAGCCAAGGCCAGGCGCTGTGTGTCCTAGGCACAGTTGTGGACACATCCTGCATTCTGGCAGGTGAAGCACTTTTATCCCACCCTAAAACAGAATGGCTGCAGAGGAAAAAGGTCCATGTGGGTTTCTAACTTAAAAAGGGAGAGAATCCTAGGCCTAGAAATTAAACTGTAAACTAAATGTAAATTAACTGTAAACTATAAGTTGTAGCCAGAACCAGCTATGATAATATGCAGAGCCTAGTGTCAAATGAAAATGCAGGGCCCTTGGTTCAAAAATTATTAAGAATTTCGAGATGGCAAGAGCAGGACATGGAAGCGATTGTGGAGCCCTGCTAAGCATGGAGCCCTGGGTCCAGGCCAAACACCCATAACGCCAGTCAAATTTTAGCACTTAGAATGCAGCAAAATGGGGCGCCTGGGTGGCTCAGTGGGTTAAAGCCTCTGCCTTCGGCTCAGGTCATGATCCCAGGGTCCTGGGATGGAGCTCTGCATCGGGCTCTCTGCTCAGCAGGGAGCCTACTTCCTCCTCTCTCTCTGCCTGCCTCTCTGCCTACTTGTGATCTGTCAAATAAATAATAAATCTAAAAAAAAAATGCAGCAAAATGCTTGAACCAGGATATCTATGCAAAATGTAAAATATTGTTTGAAAAACGAATAATGTTTCACAGATTGAACTTATAGTAAAAAGACAGGATCTTTTTTTTTTTTTTTAATAATCTCTACACCCAGTGTGGGACTGAAACCCACAACCTTAAAATCAAGAGTCGCACACTCCACCAGCACCGCCAAGACAGGGCCATTTTAAACAACACATTTGAATTGGATGTCTGCTCATGGCTCTCCAGAAATAAAAATATAACCCTGTAATTAAAGCTGGATGAAATCTCAGTAACCACCTCTCAAGCCCCTTACTTTAGAGATGAGAGATAGTTAAGTGACTTGCCAGATACCTCATACATAGTATGAACCAGGGTTGGAATCCAAGGCTCTGAAATTTCCCTTCTCAGACTTTTTTGTAACACCTAACTGCTTGACACGGTCTCTATAGATACCTTCCCGTCACAGAACCCCATATATGCGCATTTGCACATTCCAGTTACAGGGAGGAGGGAGGGAGGGAGGGATTAAGGGAGGGAGGAAAGAAGGAAAGCAAATCAAGCTTCAGTTATTCTCCAGGTATTTTCCAGTATAGATTTGCTTGCACAATTTAAAAAGCCATTGTTTGGGACGCCTGGGTGACAGCGGGTTAAGCCTCTGCCTTCAGCTCGGGTCATGATCTCAGGGTCCTGGGATCGAGCCTGGCATTGGGCTCTCTGCTTGGCAGGGAGCCTGCTTCCCCCTCTCTCTCTGCCTGCTGCTCTGCCTACTTGTGATCTCTGTCAAATAGATAAATAAAATCTTTTAAAAAATTAAAAAAAATAAAAAGCCGTGGTTTGTTTCAGTTTAAATGTGAAGACTTCAATGTGATGGCAGTTCTCTTTCACATTAGGAAGCGGATGTCACATTTCTTCTGAGGAAATAAAAATCGACACCATGGACTAAGTGATCTTCCTTTTTTTCTCTGAAATAAAATTAAAAGATTAAAAGGTAGAAATAGCTGTTAACGCTAGCTCTCATTTATTCATCCCTTAGATTTAGCCCCATCCCTCGGGAAGCACTTTTCTTGTGTTCCTACATCAAATCCTCACAACCTGATATTTTCGGTGGTATAGTTACTGCCCTTCCCCTCAAAGCTGAGAAGACAAAGATGTGAGGAATTAAGGAATTTACCCAAGTCACACAGCTGCTCCATGCTGTTGCTGGGACTCAAATCCAAGATCAGCTTACCACACGCCTGCACTTGAACTTCTGCACTTGAACTTGTACTGCTCTGCCTCCAAAATGCAAAATACTAGCCAATCAGCTCTCCTTTTCCAATATGAAGTCTTATTCTGTCTTTGCATGCTTAACCTAGCCTTTTTGAACTCTGGATCAACAATTACATGTATTTTTTCTTCAGGAGAATGTTTATGGGGATAGGATATAAATAAGAGGTTGGAGGAATCAAATGTACAAACTTAGGCAATGCGCTGTCCTTTCTGTTTTTTGTCGGTTTTCGTTTTGTTTTGTTGTTTCCAGTGTCTCTGTAAGAATTCAGTTAATCATTCCCCTTAGTAGAAACCTTTCCTGTTTTCCTCGGTGCCGCTAAGGTGGTGATTTTCATTACCGTCATTTAAATGCGTTGGCTGGTATATATTTTAATTAGGGTTGAAGAAACTTCCGCAGAAAGTCTCTGTGGAATTTCTTCTTTCTGTGATTTAGATGTAGTCATGTTTCCTTTTGAGAGGTTATATCTAGGAGAAAGGCTGATAATTTTTTTTTAATTTTATTTATTTATTTATTTGACAGGCAGAGATCACAAGTAGGCAGAGAGGCAGGGAGAGAGAGTGAGGAGGAAGCAGGCTCCCCACTGAGCAGAGAGCCCGAAGGCTGATAATTTTTTAAATATATCTATTTGTTTGCAGGGGGGGAAATGATATTTTATAAAGTCTAGGGTTATTCTGATCTGATAACAAGTATATACCATGTTCCTAGTACTGGGCTGAGGGTAGGAGGCTGGAGGGGAAAGTCACTGAACATTTAGTAAAAGCTCCTAACCTTGCTTCAAGAAACTCTTCAGCCCACCTAGAAAGAAGGAAACAATTGTAGAATGGAAGTAGAATGGAAATGGTCAAAGCCCCAGGGGTGGGGTGGGTGGAGGGGATGTCCTGCCAGTGACTTGCTCTGTGACTTTCAGCAGCTTCTCTTTGGTCAGTCTTCTTACCCATAAATTTCAGGTGGGTAATAGAATAGTTTCTGAAAGTTGCCATCCAACCCTACAATTCTGCACCATAAAAAGAAATCAGCTGATAGGGTGAAAGGTGCCAGAGTCAGGCTAGAATGAAGGGTTTCTCAAAATTATCAAAATATTGGGGTGCCTGGGTGGCTCAGTGGGTTAAAGCCTCTGCCTTCAGCTCAGGTCAGGAGTCCTGGGTCAAGCCCCGCATGGGGCTCTCTGCTCAGCAGGGAGCCTGCTTCCCCCTCTCTCTCTGCCTGCCTCTCTGCCTACTTGTGATCTGTGTCTGTCAAATAAATAAAATCTTTTTAAAAAATTATCAAAATATTATGGACCAGATAATTCTGTGTTGGGTGTCTGTTTTGCACACTCTAGGGTGTAGAGCAACATTCTCTGCTTCTACAAACTAAATGCCAGTAGCACTCTTTCCACCACCCCCCATCCCCCAACCCAGTCCCCGAAATTATGACAACCAAAAGTATCTCCAAATTTACCAGATGTTCTCTGGGGGACAAAAATCACCCCCGTTCTCAACCACTGGGCTAGAAGATTTCCAAGAAGACCAAAAGGATTCCAAATGGAGGCTCCGAGCAAGTCCCCATGGAGAAGGTACAAGAAGGTCCCAAGACTTCATGGAGACGTGAGGGAAGTGCATGAGCAAACGCACAGTGAGAGAATTTGCATGGTGTCGCCTGCACAGTGATGAGTATGCGTGAGGGAAAGAGGCAGAGGATGGGTTGGCAATAACCGTGGGTCACAGCTGAGCCTAATAGTCAAGAAGAGGAGAACTGAATAAATAAAATCTTTAAAAAAAAAAAAAAAAAGAGGAGAACTGAGAACTTCAAATGTCCAGGAATTGTCATAAATTATAATAAATTATTCTATCACCAAAATAATTTTTTTTTTAGGGACGGTGAGAAGAATTTGCATTGTTCAAGGAGATCGTCTTCATCTTAAATTAGGAGCTGCAAATACAGAAGTCCTAATTTTGCCCCTGTGCTCGGTGGATGTCGGAGGAATCTGACTGTTAGGTTAGCAAGGGTGTCCATAATCTATACTTCCGTTGTGGACCACCACGTTGTGTCTTGTATTGTGGGCACATGTTCTTCTGAACATGGTGTGTAAGTGACTCGGGTCCTTCGCTGGTACAGCCTCCACACCAGGTGGATAGACATGGACGTGGTGACTCTCTATAAACAGCAAGAGAGGATTAAAGTG